GAGCAAGATTTCCGCTATTGATTCGAAATGAAAACCAATTTAAAGTGCAGCGGGTAACATGTGTGCACCAACTTAAACAAAAGGTGACAAATACAAACTACAGAAATGCGTAACAGCTAGAGTTAGTCTACATCTTTTTATACAAGTGAAAGTACGACAAAGTCGTAAATAAATACAAATATGGCAAAGGGCTACCACAATCTGTCCAAATATTTAAGAAAAACAGTTTTGAATTTTTTTATCGTACTTTGTTTGTCTTTGGTCTTCGCAGTCATGTTGTTGGTCAGACTCTGTTATCCACTTTACCCCTGCCTTTGGTAGTTATTTTCATGCAGTTCACCATTACACGTTTGCAGCATAATCCCCTGTTTTTTGGTCACGTTGGGATGCCGGCTTTTGGAGAAGCTTCCACTACGGCGCCTACACCAACTAAACTCCACAAAAAATGACTACTAAAGTAGAAGACAGTGTTCCTTCAGCTTCCGTCGAAATTCAAGCATATTTAACAAGAAAACATGCACAAGAATGTTCTTTCTTGTCAGCATCTGATAGCAGATAAGGTCTTCTTTAAAGTTGGCAATTAAAGAAATGATAATTTTCTGTTTTGAAGGTTTTCAGTTAGGAAATTTTTAAGACCTCGCCATGTCTATTCACAAACCATCGCGTTTATCCATTGATTAATGCTGATTATAAAGTACACAACAGGGTCCATACCCACTACAAAACTTTAATAAAGCCTCTATGAAATCGTCTTAATAGCGCACAGAAAATTATGACTTTAATGACGCGGAATATCTACGAATTGTTCAAATTTTTTCGGGAATGTAAAAAGTTTAAAACCCGAAAGGCAGTCTTTTTTATACAGAGGATTTCAAGAAATATAAATTACTCCGAAATGAGTGCCAGAAAGAATATTTCACATCCTTTCTAAAAAAAGATATACTTACATGTACAAGAGCATCAGAAGTCAATAGGAAATATTCATAATACTGCGGGATACGATGTGGTCCGGCCAGATAATAGGCGATTGAACGTATCCCAACGAATATGAGCTAGTGGATAT